AAGTTTGTGGAATTACCAGGAGCTGAAATGGGAAAAGTTGTTGTTAGATTTCCTCCAGAAGCAAGTGGGTTAGTGCCTATGATGTATTTTGTACATTCTGCTATATGCTTTTTAGTTGATAAAAAATGTTTAATTAATTAATAATACATTGTTTTCAGATATTTGCATATTGGACATGCCAAAGCTGCTCTATTAAATCAGCACTATCAATTGGCTTTTAATGGCCGTCTTATAATGCGTTTTGATGATACCAATCCAGCAAAGGAGAAGGAAGATTTTGAGAAGGTAAAAAAGAAATATAYATCATAAAATGAATTCTGAAAAAATGTCTTCATTTTATTTTTACTATTTTTTGTCTATTTTAAAGAATATTTAAATAAAAACCATATATTAAATAATGAGTTAATTTCGGTTTATTTTATTTTGTTGAAGGTTATATTAGAAGACGTGGACATGTTGAAAATAAAGCCTGATACTTTTACTTATACTTCTGATTATTTTGATAAAATGTTAGATTTATGTGAGAATGGGATGTTAAAAGAAGGATTAGCTTATGTGGATGACACGGATGGAGATAAAATACGTTTGGAGCGTGAACAAAGGATAGAATCAATAAATCGAAATAACTGTAAGCCTTATAATTTATATCTTTTTAAAAATATAAAAATTAAAAAAAACTCAAATACTCAATCATTAACTACCTTACAGAGTTTTGAATTAAAGTTTATATCTTCGTTATTATTATCAATAGCATTGACTTATTCAGGTGTGTGCACTGTGCAGGGTGTTGCTTGTAATACTATTGCCACATCTTCTAGGGGTGGCAGTATTGCATTTTAGTTACCGTTATTAAGGTTAATATTGGTATAGACTGGTAACCGATACTTCAATATTTGCTATTATTCAGTATTTGCAGTATTTTAATATCAAACAAAATTAATGCAAAAAGAAAATTAATTAAATATTGTCATTTACTATTTTATTTCAATATTTAAATTATTTATTCTTATTATTATAAATTTAATTTATTAGTTTAATTTTTTTTTTTTGCAGTACAGCTAAAAACTTTCTCGCTAGTAAGCTAGTACACATATCAAATATCAATATGTTTTCCTTCTTATCTGATTAAGTGTAGAAAATTATTTGCTTTATGATTTCCACCAATCAAGATAATACCT